GGAAATGTCTATTTTCTATTAGCAGAATGATTCTTCATAACCAAAACAAAACTGACTGACAGTGACCTCATGTGAATTAACTTTTTGTGTCTCTGAAAGAGTGTGAACCTTTGTTATTATATTAAAAAAACAAAAAACACATTTGTTTTGAAAGGTAATTCAAGGGAAGATAAAGAAACCATTTTTGCCCGAAGTACAAATGTCAGTCTTTGTCTTGAATTTCCCTGAATGAAAAAAATAAAAACACTCCATGTGCACATTTCATTTCACCTGTCAATCAACAAGGGACAAAAATCAATTATACAGAAATAAATAGAGGTGAGTTCTTTTCATGAGAAAACAATATTCATTAGCTGTACAATGAGTGCTGTCACTATTACTTTGTTTTCCCTTGAAGTAATTCATTGAAATGGCAATACAGAGATGCAAGACAAAAACAGCTCCTTTTAGCTCTTGACACACAGAGGCTTCTTATCCCTCATTTAAATGTTGGTTTCTTCTGATTTCCTCTTCAATGGGAAACTCAACTGATACCAGCAGCAAAGGCCTGAGCCTTAAATAAAAACAATGACAGTTCTGAGAGTTAAGGTGGCCATTGAAATGCTAAAATATCAATAGCAGTTATTTAGTTCTTTAAAGACACTTGAAAGTCTCTTATCTGACACATGGTAATGCAAGTCACTGTAGTGATGTTTATTTCACAGCAGTCATCCACTTTACTGTCAAATGAAAGACTGTTTTTGCATCTGAAATCTCATTTATTATTGTGAATTTGACCGTTGACCTCATCTCAATCAGAGAGACAATATTTTTGTTTTCATTGTGCTATTGAGAATTGAATTATTTTGGCTAAAATACTGTGGCTAAATTAAAAGAAAAATACAAAAGCTTTGGTTTGAGAAAAAGCAAATTAACTGACTGAACCTGAAGTGTTTTTCCTATAAAACTGATAAGAAAAATCAACTGTAAGTGACATGCAAATATGTCTCAATACATCAGTATGTGGGTTCTAAAAATGTTTTAAACTATTCATGGCATAGACGAAGACTTGGTCATGACAAGACAACACACACCAACAGCAACGGCTACAGAGGAAGGAAATCACTGGTTTTCACTCTTCATATGACAGCCTAATTTGTCCTCTAATAAAAATACATTTTGCACAATCTGACGCTCTGCAAATAATGTCCACAGTGTGTGTGTGTGTGCGTGGTGTGTGTGTGTGTGTGTGTGTGTGTGTGTGTGTGTGTATGTGTGTTAGCAAGAGCAAGTAAGAAAGTATAAGAAAGAAAGAAATGTGGCGTCATAAACAAGTCAATGTCAGATAAGTAAATTACAGTTATTATTTGTATTAATATTATGTATTCAATGTTATATTCTAGATATTTAGACAGTGGGAGAAAGGATTTTTTAAGAATTTTATATTTTTAGCAACATGTGATACACACAACATAATAATAACAACAACAACATTTTGCTTTAAAGTGTGCTTTAAGTTACAGTGCTTTCATTGGTTCTGCAAGCTTGCTGATCTATTAAATGAGAGTGAATTCTCTGCCTGCACTTGGCATAATCAAATCGGAATATCAACTTCTACCAGTGTGTCAAATATATGTAATGATCATACAAAATGTTGATTCAACAGTCTGATTGTGCTGGGCAACAAAATGTCAGATTTAAGGCGGCTGATTTTGTTCTTGGGATATATCAGCTCCCTTACAATATCTCCCCCAATCAATTTCTTTGATGCCAGGGTTCTGTTTAACTTTTAGAGGTGCTGATTAAATTCTGTCTTCTGCGTCTCTGGATCCCCTCTAACAGCACCAAATCAGCATCCCAATTCCACATGAACATGCTGCTCACAATCAAGCTGTCATTTGGTCTACGAAAATTTGGCCGCGCCATTAGCTGATGTGCCGAGAGGGGAAATTCCAGACCTCTGTGTGGTTGTATTGAAGGAAATGTTGGTTTCACCCCCTGCTGATTGACTCTAATCAGCCACACTATGCCAACATCACTCTGTCCTGAAGCCCATATACACTGGTGGCTGATTAGGTGGGAAGACTGGGGAATTGGAAATACATAAATATTTAGCACGCCATGATGCTCACAGTTATATGTAGTCTGCAGGTCCTATAATGATTGAACTTCCATAAAGTAGTGTTTTGAAATCATAAACTGGTCTGTTTAGGTTCAAACTGCTTCCATTCTGTCAGCAATAGTTGACGCCGAATGTTTAAACAAAGGGGATTTTGGTGCCAGCATCAGTAACTGTTGCTGTTGTCAAAAAAGCTTGTTGTCAAAAAGGACTACAGCCAAACACATCACAAGTTTTGGCTTGTGTTTCCATGTGCTAAACAGGTCTGACAAAAAACATTGTTGACGCCAGACTCACGCTGTGCTGTCTGGGTCCACAACAGGTTAAAACATCACAGTGCCACAGCTCCAGGCTATTCTCAGGCTACATGCATATTTTAAACATTTGTGGATTGTGCAATGACCACACTGTAATCTTTAAAAGTCATTCAATGCCCCGTATAAGTCATCATGTACAAGCAGAAGTCTCTTGTGCATAGAAACATATATGTCAGCGATGTTACACATGCTGACATTAGGAAAGCTAGTTCATGGGTAATGTCCAGGGGCTATGACAGACATGTACTTCCTATATCCTGTGGTTGATGGCGAGGGGCCTCACCTAGGCTGTAATCTGGGAGGACTGATCACAGAGAACCAGAGTGAAGTGAATTCCGCCTGTCCTACTTCAAACGCAGCAGGACAGTAAATCAGACAGGTAGACGACACTAGGCGGCTCACTCATCCCTTGTGTTCACTGCTTCTGTCCCTGAGGGCACAGGAAACAAGTATGCCAACAATGTCACCTGACAACACCATGGAGCCACTTCACCACAAAAACCATTTTACAGGGCTGCCGTGAGGAGGAGTTTTGTGATGTTATGTTCCTACACAGAAAGAAATTCTCCAAAACACAGCGAAGGTTAGATTTTCACACATAAGAAAATTCAAAATCTGCATGAGAAAATGCAGATTTATATATAAATAGTGTAAACTTTGTGTAAATTATACTTGAACATTCAGATGGTAAAGTTGTTGGCAGTGGTAATTCTGAGCTAACTTGGTCATCTTTTAACATGTTTGTACTAAAAGGGATTTGCATGATCATTCATACCAGCAAATGTCTGCAAAGTCCACATAGTGGAATTATTTTCTCTTTTCACATGACATGTAAAAAAACACCAGTAGGTATCACTGCGTAAAAATCACTGAATTCTTTTTTTTTACTAGGGTCATTCTATCAACATTGCATTAAAAATCCTATATTTACTATACACAAAATTCATTTTACAGTATTTTACACCAACAAAGACAAAATTACATTGTGATACTACACCACAACTTTACAGTATCTCATTGCTGAATTATATTTTACGGGAAGAGTTACAGTGCAAGTATATCTGTCAGATGTCTAACTGTTGAGAAATCCCATCTGAGGATAGGGTGTCAGGGAAAAATGAATCAGAAAGGAACACCAAGGTCAGTGTGATATTTCAAGGCTTCTACTTTACATGGCCGCATAGCAAATGTGGGCCTTCAATCAAGTCAGATTGGGTGGATTGACTATAGGTACACCAACACACAGCACTGAAAGTAATGACAAAGGAATAAATCCATCAAATAAAAGGGAGAAAAAAAGCAAACTACCAAAACTTTAAGGGTCAACACAATATTTTTTTCACATAGACAATATAATACCAAGTTTGACTAATTGTAATGAAAGAAATAGGCATGCTTTTATTCCCCAAAAGCTCCTATTCAAAACGAGAATTCCAGTAATAGGCTACATAATACATTCTGGTACATATCTTTGTATAGACTCATACTGATACAATTAAAACAAAATGAGCTTGGTTTGTTTTCCTTATCTGAAATAAGTGTTTTGTGCGTGCATTGCCTTTATTTTCTCAGATAGTGCCTCTCCCTAAGTACTTTTTCATCATATTGAGAAATGCAATCTTTCTTGCATGTGCCTGAGGACAAGGATGCATATCTGACTAATAATGCCATACCTTGCTACCTTGTCATTACTGTAAAATGTTAACAGCTATACAAACTCTGTCTGTTTGCTCTTTTCTTAATGTAACCTATTTGAATTTACACAGAGGGGATTTTACAAATTACATGTATTAAGACCCTTGATGCTTCATATTTTTGCTGCCAAAGTGGAATATATCTAGGATATTAATAATATAGGGGTTGATCCATCTCCCAAGAACCATTTATCTAAAGTTTGTGCTATCTAGATATGAGCCAGAAACCCAATGCACCAGTGCTTTAACAATCAATACATTATCTTATGTGCAAAGTCTAAATGTTCAGAGGTTTTTTTTCCCGAGTGTGTGGAACAAATTAAAAGCCCGGCCAGTCAGTAAAAGACCAATTCATAAAGGTGAAAAAGTGAGGCTGCGGCTGTGACGGGAGGACCAGTGAAAAATCTCTGCTGACCCTCTCATCCCTCTGCTCATCTATCTCTCACTACTGTCCACTGATAGATTTCCCCTCGCTGATTTATGGGAGAAAAAAAATGTCACAGTGGAATGGGCTTTTGATAAAATTGTTCAAGAGATTCTGTGCAATAAATCCTGATCTTTACATCCAGGTTGCTAGCTACTTTCACATTCTTGTGCCATCAATAAGAGCCGCCAAACATGACAACTAATCAATAACTTTACAATATTCTGGGCAGTTTGGGAAAACAGTAACATTTATATTTCACAGAAAAGAGCAAGTCACTCTTTTATACTCAAAAAACTACAGATAAGAGGAGCTTGACTGTAACTTAGGCTGAAAATAAGTCACACTGTGTTTTTCACTGCTTGCTGGAGAGAAATTGTTGTCATTCACAATATCTTTCAAAAAAAAAATTCTGACCTGAAAAAAAAAATGTTTTCAAACAGAAATGACCAGACATGCTATATATATATATGCAATTTTAATATATTTATTCAAAGTGTGTGCACAGATCTACCCGCTCCTATCAATCTGTTAAATTCCCATTTACCAAAGTGTTCAATTGATAGATAAATCATTTGTATTTTGCCACATAACCCATTGATTAATGAAAGAAATGGTAATTTAGCAATCATCAATCAAAGTGACTTTATATTGTAATGGTTCCCAAAGATGAGCGTATGTTTCCTGTGAGGCAAAAACAGCCCAATATAATGGTACTAACAGGTTACAAGATCTCTAGTCCAACATCAGTCATGATGGAGTGTTTCTGACAGGAACTCTTCAGTCAGCCGAGTGGCGCCAGGAAGGATGAGTGATTCAGCAAACCTGCCTGGTGTTGTCTCTCTCGTCTCTCAATCTTTACGATGTAGCTGAGAGGAAAACAATGAGCCTGTTGCTCAGTACAGGTGTTTCTCAGAGGAGATGACTTGTAAAAACAGGTAGATTTCCACAGAGACGAGAATTGACTCACATAAAAGGCTTCTGCTGCTGCAATAACTCACGACCGAGCTCTGGCCGTCTGCCCAGAGACGGTGAAATCATAGCAGTGTTTAATTTGCACAGCTATCCTCACAGGAGAAAATATGAAAAAAAAAATCCCTGTCTGACTGAAGGTATGTGACAATGTTTGTGGTAATGTAATCCATTGTTGACTGGGAGATAAACATCAGCACTGTAACCTCAGATTGACAAAGAGACAAACAGTGAGCCACTTAAAAGAACACATTTTAAAGGACCTTTACACTCTCAATAAAGGGCAAGAAATACTGGAACACGAACTTAAGTAGCTCTAAAGACAAGGTTGTCACAAGAGATGAGAGAGGAGGAAGCAAAAGACAAATAGAAAGCGGGGGAGCTATCTGGCTGACTTTGTCTTTCAGATTAAAGCCCGAGCAACAACCAGCAACAAAGACATTTCTGACAGGGTGAGGAAATGAAATGTTTACAGTACGGGGGCTGATAAGTGAGGCCACATAAGACATTCGAGAGCACTTGTTCGGACTGTCACTTTTTGCTACAGATGAGGAGCGGTCATTCTTAAAACAGGTGTCATTACAAGGCAGTGAGAAATGGCAAGTTGCGCACTCCCCCATTTAATTTACCCCATCTGTATGTCAACCAGCCCCCTACAATTTCAATTCAATACAACACTCACATCAGCAATTTGTTTTGTCTTTACAATGAAATTGAAATACTTTCCCACAGCATGCCAATGATTCTTTTCCCACGACGAAAATATTGAAATTACATTTGCTTTGCTGTAGAACTATTTCATGTATAGGCCTACACAGATTTAACTGGAGCCACATAAAATGCTATATAGCTTCTATCATGAAAAGACTCCAAACCTGAGAGGCTGAGGACATTTAAATTATTTACATCAGTTGTCACAGACTGCTGTGATTTCTAAGAACATGCTCCCAGAGGCCCATTATCCTGCTCTTGTTTGCAGGGGGAGATGAGACATTTTCTCAGTGATAGGCTGCCTTTCTGATTCCTGCGGGGAGAAAAACACCATGTTAATTTAAGGTGTCCTGGCCCAATCTGATACACCAGCACGGAAAAAGATGCTTGTTCTCATCTTTGTAATCACAGCGGCAGGAGCAGAGGGCACATGTCCCCCGTGTCTCATTTCAGGGCTAATCTTTCATTTCATAGCCCATCTCTCCATATCAAACAACACAAATGGCTCAATTTGCATGACAGGATTTGTAACATGGCGAATCAGGTGTCAGACTCGATTAAACATTACACCAGCACACTATCATAATCAGCCGTCTAATGAGTGTGGCCACTGGTCTGAGAGGCTTGGATGGATCAGGGAGACGGCTTCTCCACGCTGCCCAGCGGGGGGTGAGTGACTGAGGGATTAAAATCGGTAGTGCAGTCCCTCTGGCCCTGACAGAGGGGCTCCTCTGGGTGGCAAGGCTCGAGCCCTGTGATGCTGACGAGACAAGGCGACACAGGCCACACACGCACACATCAGGAGGAGTGGAGCGGAGAGCTGCTCTCATGGCTGAAACACACAGACAGCCAAGAGGCAGCATCTGAGGACTGCTTACTCCTGTGTATCCTCAGCTTTGAATACTAATGTGTGGGGCCATTACAGAGGACAGAAGCCCCGGCAGAGAGAGACCCCAGCCCTAGATCACATCAGCACTATCACCGAAATGAGGCAATGGGATCATTAAGATGCAACGAGACTCTGGACCAGACATCATTTGTGTGAGAGGGAGCTTTGACAATGCTTTCTGAAGGTGTTTTTTTCTTTCCAGTATACATTTACATACAAATTGTCAGGCTCATTACGCTAGACTGTTTTAGGATGATTACTTTAAAAAAAAAAAAAACACAACTACCTATTAAGAGAGAAAATACTTTTAATCAGTAATAGTGATAGTTTTCTAAAAAATATTTTTTCTTTGGAGCATGCATTACAGATTCTGGAGGGAACATGATGGTAATTAAACTGACAATACTGGTTGTGCTTTTTTCCCCCTGTAAACATCAAATCACATGATGAGTTGATGATACTCCCCCACCACCACCTCCCCACTGTCATCTTTACCCCCCCTTCTTGTGTACAGTTTGCCCCTCCCAGTGTTCAGCCCTTATTGTTATCTGCTGAATATACACTGATGCTAATTCTACTGTTGGCTGTGTTGATGTGCAGCTTTTGGTTCCTGGTCCACAGAGACTTCCCTATTGCCACCATCCTACCACCCTCAGCATCAAGGTCCCCCTCCCCATTACTCCTTCCCCCACCCTCTGCCCTGCTCCCCATTTGGGGTGACCCGGGTGCTGTTCTGAGGGTTCCTCACACCCCAGAAGCTGTCAGTGGCCCCCTTCCTTCCCATGAGCGGAACACACAATAGAGAAAGAGCTCCGGCTGAGAGGTTCAGTAGCCATTAACCCCTACCAGCTGTTCCTGCCGAGGGTATTCTGTGCCACAATACGTGCCCCCGAGGGGGCCCTCACGTCCACTAATCTAGCCATTGTTGGCCAGGAATGCTGACAGAAGAAAAGAAATTTTTCTTGTGTCCATGCAAGCGTGTGTATCCATGTGTGAGAGCCGAGAAACGTAGGGCTAATTTCTATAGTTGCCTGTGAAGAAGGGAGACCATGAAGAATACCCTATTTAGCTGCTTGACAAAATTCTTTTGCTTAAAAATGGAAAAACAATGGCAATTGTTTTCAAGTGGACTCCTTTACACTGTCCAAGTCTCTGAATTTATCTAGAAAAATATCTTTTAATGTCTGCTGTGAAAAAAGTTAAAATAACTTGCGTCTTGAATTATTTAGTTATTTGGTATTCATTTTTAATGCATGGACAGACAAACATTCTGAAACCACGATCAGCTCCAAAGCCATTTCTAAATGGATTACATTTTGGGGAAATTATTCCATTTTGGTACTTTGCTCTCAGAATATATTAACAATTAGTCCATTTCAATTAACATGGAAATTAAAACAGCATTTTCCAGTCAATTTAACCATGATGCAGCCATTAGGGGCTTCTGGTGTGCTGAGCATGTTTGTTACTCCAGTCTCCAGTCTATAAATGAAACAAAAAGAGAGAGAGATCCCTGCTACATATCAGGAAAGCGAGTTTGATATTCCAGTAGCTGAACATGTTAGTTATTTCATCCTTAAATTTAAATTAAATAAAAAAAACAACTAGTAAATATCTACACAAAACATAATTATAAAATCAAACAATTCACACCATTTGTTGCAAAACTGGCTCTATCCTTGCAAATAAAATCTTCACAATTATGTTCTCTGTTCGATAGCATTGTAATCTGGGTTGAATTAAATGATAATGAAATATTGAAATTTTGCAATACATTTTCTAGGATTCCTTAATGTAGAGGACTTAAGGTGGAGCACACAGGCTGTGGTATCTATTTTTCTCTTCCCACTGAGTAAAGTCAATAGATGTGATATCAACAGTGTTGACAGCGACAGGAAGCGGAGCTCCATAGCCGTCAGCAGGCTTGGGATGCAACATTTGCATGCAGGAAGTAAACACAGCAGCACCTAAAGACAGGGGGAGGGCAGCTCTAATGTAAACTGTTAGGTGAGTTTTGAAGAGGAAAGGTATTTTTCTGTACTCTGTCCCACAGCCTTCCCTGTGTTGTGACAGGCGGGGGATCTGCATCAGTCAATTATATGTCCCAACAGACTTTTGTGCTAATGAGCTGGTCCAGCCATCGGCAGACTTCCCCTGTCGTCCAGAAAAGATCACTTTCATTGCTTGCAGAACTAATTCAGGGCACAAAAGTGGGAGCTTCACCATTGCAGCCTCTTTTACTGCTCCTTTTGTGGAAGCTTTAGAAGTGCGCTGAAGAGAGGGCCTAGCGCTCAGGCCTCTTCATCTCCAGTCCATTGCCTGTCATTAACATACATATCCATATGAAAAGTGGGGTAAGGCCGGAACAGCTGTCCAGTTAAGAGGCAGTGATTCCCTCTCCCAAATGCTGACAGAAGCCTTTAGCCTTCCTTGGCCAATAATAAACCAAACCATTTAAACAGTCTTTCAGGGAGTGAGAAAGAGATTGGACCATAATGCTACATTCACAGGCATCGGTGGCGCTCATTGGCTTGCAACAGTCTCTAGTAGATTCACAAAAGTTAGGGGACAAACCAGGGAAATAATCACAAAACTAAGATAATAGATAAGAATAGTATAACAGGACCACAGCACTAGGTTCTCATTTTGTGAGCGATCACTTCAAAAATCTTGGTTCAAAAGATTAAACCAAGACAGGACATTTGTTTGCATAATTATTAAAGTGCTTAAGTCGGATTATAAAGGGGAATCATAATGCACAACAAGTTCCGCAGGGTCACTTATGCTAGCTTTCAACGTGACTTGTAAGTATCGTCAAATGTTGGACATTGTAATAAAAAATGGTATATTTGTTTACTCTGAGGCTCTGTGTTGAGGGCTTTTCACCCTGAGCAAAATGATTTGGTCTAAAGGGACTTGAGGAGTGTATGGGGATGGAACTGAGCAATCCTCTTGTTTAAACTTGGGTGGTGGGCATGAAGACAGAGGTTAAGTGACTTGCCCCAGGTCACATGGGAAGTCGTTTACTTAGGGTGGATTTTCTCATCTAAACCCTCGTCCACTTAGACCAAAGGGGTTTCTTTAACATTACTTTACAAAGATCACTTATTGTATTCTTAGATTTGTTGACATTAAAAAATATATTTTTTATCCGTGTGCTGTTTATTGATGTTTTTTTGTCTTACTATGAAGTCTAAAAGTGTTTAATGGTTGTAGGAAACAGAAAATAACACTTTGAAATGTTTTACAAAATCACATCTTTGGATAATTATGGGGACGATGTGTGCTTTCATTTGCATCAGTTTGGGACAACTTTGGGATTGGATTTCCCTAAAACATGAATAAACGCTGGTATGGGACTTTTGAAATCACAACAAACCATCAGGAGATGACTAAATACTCACTGCATTTGTGCTGTTTAAAACAGCTTACAAAGTGTATTTAATTGCTCAAAACATATTTTTTTATTTTTCGCTGATGAAAATTACCATTAGCCAGTTATGATGAAGGATGATATTGTGTGGTGCTTGCAGTTGTTGGTGGAAAAGTTTTCACAATGTATTTTCTATATTCATGTTGTTACTTTACACCTTTTCTCTATTTGCTAAACAAAACTGATGACATTTGAATATTCCTTGTGTCAGTCAAAATCAAATACAAAAGGAAAGTGATTGACAGCAAAGCAATAATGAACAGCAAATGATGACAGGCTATTTTCTAAAAAGATAAATAAAAAAATGTTTCTATGAATCCTTGAAAACCTAGAGTGGCAATATTTTTGTTCGATTCTCGCATATCAGCATTTGTGTAATTTGTGTTTAAAGTTTAAACTTTTAGTGATGTTAACTGATTAAAAATATCTAACAACAATAATTATTATTATTATTTTCACTCAGTCAGTCAATCAAGAGGTAGAAGGCATATCCTAAACTTGAGTTTAGGGAACTTTTTGAATTTTCTCCTTCCACTGAGTGGTTTTCTATGCTTGAGATGCCTCGTTCTCTAGAGAAGGAGGTAAAGGGAGAAGCCAGAATCCGGATCTAATGAATAAGAAAAGCCTTTGGTTAAAAGGGGACTGGTTTGTCTCTTCATGGGTCGCTTTTTATTCAGCTTTAGAAAGACGAGGAGTCCTGATTGATAAATCCCCTCCCTTGCCCCCCTGGTGCCTGTGACCCCAGAGTCATCAAGTACAATGCACAGCACCTTAAGTTTCTAAATCTACGATTGAAAAATAGAAGGAGCGAATTTGTGTCCACTGAGGAAGCTTTGACATGCTTTTGCAGCGATGATTATTCTGAGGCTGCATGCCCAGCGGGCTACCAGCAGCTAGCTGCATGCAGGATTTGTTTTCTATCTGATCCTCCTACCCCCCACCTCCTGTGCATCAGCAGCATCCAAAAAACTAGTGTAATGGCACTTGTTGC